CTGATTACAACCCAGCTTTGTTTTTCCATCTTGTTAGTACTCAGGCTATTCGCTGCTGGTTTCCTGTTTTAACAGGGCCCAACTGAAAAGGCTGCTGGCTGGGCTCCACAACTGGACCATTGGCTTACTGTTATTTACAACCAGAATAAAGGCTTGTGGACACGACAAGCAGCCCCAGCTGACCTACCAACTTACTTTGCCTTAAAAGCAGACTAGCGCCAGGTTATTTTACATCTCCTCCTAAATACGTTTAACCTTCACAGGAAAACTTCTTTTACAGGATTAAATAGAAGGAGCACGAGTTCATTTGCAGAGAAGTCTGAGAAACAACATGATATCCCAGTTCTCCACTCCCGCCATGACCACTTAGATGAGCAGTCCACAGTATTAATGACCTAAGAACTACACGATCAGCAACCCTTCTTTATAAATTACTTTATCCTCCTGGCTTCCCAGCTGAAGTCATATACATGATTGAACGCACTGCTGCATTGTATCACAGCTCAAAGACTTTACAGGTCCTCCCATAATCAGCTCAGGGAAGATTACACCTAGGATCTCGTCCAGGCTCAACACCCAACCGTTAACAGCTTGAAACAACTTGAGTAAAAGTACAGGGATGACTAAAGTCGATTTCAAAATAGACTACTGCTACTTAAGAAGGCATGCTGAAATACTTTGAGGGGGAGGACCAAATATTTAGAGAGGCTAAGACAAATGAAATGAAGTTAAGCAAAGGAAAAATTTAGACTGAGTATCAGTAAGAAAAAACCAAAAACTATCCCATTGTGTCGAGGAAGAGCTTCACAGAGGAAGCGGCAGAAGCCAATTGTTATTCAAAACAGGACAAAGTATACCACAAGGAACAATCTCTGCCCTCCAGAGAGGAGATGGACAAAAATCACCTTACCGAAAACCACCCACCCCACCCCCTTACGGTTCTCTGAATTTCTTATGCCAGATGTTTTTTAGGAGTACACATAAACAAAACCAGTTCTCATCTAAGACCTCGATCCTGTTGTAACCGAGCTCCGTAGGATTCCTCACATGTATAAACTTGAGCACATGCCTGTGTCTTCGCAAGATTGTGTTCTAAATCATCTAATTAACAAGCTGAATGTGTTCAATGTGATTGCTATCACGTTATTATTTGTAAATTAAACTATCCACGGAAGAGTCCTCGGGGTTTTAACCCACAACCTGTTAGCTAAAAAAATCCAAAGTAAAACCAAAAAACCCAAAACAACCAAAATACACAACTACCCAACGAAAAAATATGCTAAGAACGAAACCAAATCCAAAAACGAAAAAAAAATCCAACACAAACAAAAAACCTAACTAAAATTTAATGTGATTTTAAAAATCAACAACAAAAATAAACTAGTTTTAAATTATTCATAAGTAACCAAGAGCTACAAGGATGCAAAAGGGAATTTCCACAGTAAAAAAAACCCTACAACTTTTTCCTCTGAAAAGGTTTCATAATTGAGGAACCAGCTTATTTGTTTTTCTCTGCATTTCACAGCTTGAGCTCTATGGTTTCTAAAGCAGCCAGACTTGGCTATGCTATACATTTTTTTTCTTTAAACGAGATTTTTCAAAGAGTGCAACCAAGAAATCTGTAACAAAGTCACTCTTTGAAACTTCTTGAATGAGCCTCAAATGCCAGGGGGTCACAAATAACTACAAGCCCAACCTTTAATAAAACAAAGGCACCCTAGCCTTAACATCTTTTTAAAAGTTTCTGTCTTTGTCTCTTCACCTTTTAATTTCTGCCACGCAAACCCCAGGCCCATGGCCCCTCTCAAAAGTTCTCCTTCCCGCCTGTCACCTTTCATTGTTTCCATTGTTTCAGCCCAGGACTTGCAATCCTCAAGGCAGAAGATCTTCCACACATGCACACAAATACACAAAAAAGCCCTACACATGCATACCTAGAAACTACAACAGCGTTTTTCACACGCATTTGTTTCAGGGGGTGGCAAGAACAACAGTTGAAAGTGCAGAGAGTTTGGTATTTCACCAACCCCAGCAGCTGCCCTCGGGGAGAGAAGTCTGAACAATGGAAGCAACACCAGACAGGAAACCAGCTCACCACTGCTGTGCAAATAGGGAGCATAGGAATGTCCTAAAAATAACTGGGCTAAATTAATTCAGTCAAACCATAAAAAAAAGGAAAGAAAGAAAAAAAACCTGCTTGCAATAAGGTTAAGAATCTCAAGATACCTAAGACGGCTGAAACATTTTAAAGTCAATGCTGTCACTGTCTCTAGGCACAGGCGGCTGAGCTTGGTATGCAGCACATGTAAGCGCCCAGCTCCTGCGGGTACTCCGAAAGCTCCGCTTTCAAACACCACCCTGCCCGCTCTTTAAACTTCGTCTTTGTGGCTTAATTCCCTTTGTGTGTGCTCCTCTTAGACGAGTGGCACGTCCAAAGCTCCTTACGAGGGCTACGAACCATATTAGTACATCACGTTTCCAGCAGCCCAATGATTTCACGAACTACATATGCATTAATTGCTCCAAGAATATTAACAATGAGCGAGGCTGCTCTACTACCGAACCGCAGGATGTAGTAGGGGGGAAAACAGCACAACTCTGGAGTACTGAACATGCGCACTGCTCCCCCTGTAACCCTCCACTTGAGATAATTTAATCGGTTTTGAATGCAAAACAGCCTTCATCCACACTACGGGCTGGTAAATCGCAACTGAAAAGGCACTGTGTCGCTATAAACTTCCTTCCAGCCAGCGCAGATGTCTTAAATCTGAAAGCATGCTCCGCGTCTTTATGGTGGCCAAGCTCTCGCTTAAAGGCGCTTAAAGCACCGCAAGCACAAGGAGTAACAATCGCCTAACTGTAAAGTTTGTCTGTTTGTAAATAAACACAAAGAAAACTCAAGGAGCTTTATTTTTAGGGGGGCAAAAAAAGTCTTCCTCTTTTTAACTCTCTCTCGACACTTTTGTACTTCCCCCCCCCCCCGTCTTAAGGGATAAAAGGG